TAAGGAACTGAGAGTTCGAGGAAATATTAACTTTGACCCAGCATTACTTGTCTGTTCTAAGAATGCTCTTTTCTGTTGTTCTGCTTAGAATACATTTGAGTGTGCTTCTCTCCCTGGGTGTACAGACATATGTATGTATGGTAGGCACACATTACACCTGTTTGTGTGAAAGCAGCTAACATGTTTGCTTCTAATAATAATAAAGCTCACATTTGTTTTGTGAGCTTCCAACATTAATGTGGATAAACATAGCCATATTATGTAACATGACACAGAAAATGAAGTGTAAGCATGAACAGACTCCAGAACAATTGGAGTTCCTCTTTTCTTCTTAGGGAATTCAATGTTTATTTAGATTTTTGGGATAGCTCATATTTATCAGATTGAGAGCAAGATCATATCACATCTGAGATGTTTGAGAGAGATAAGATTTAACTCAGAAAATATTATGTGCAGTAAGGGGAGAGTATAGGCAGTTAAAGAAAATTAATCATTAAACTCCTTTCTCATTACATGAGGATATTTTTCTTTTGAAAGAGTCTCACTGTACAGTGTGGCCTGGCCTTGAACTTCTGCATCAGCCTCCCAAGTGCTGGGACTATAGGGTGAGCCACAGTGACCTGCTAGTACATGATAATTTATTGATTGGTAAAGGTGATAGAAGTAATGGTAAAATGGCAAAAGTAAATAAATGAATAATATCCATACACTGTCTATTTCTGAGGCAGCTCTTAAGAAATTTGCAAGTGTTCATCACCAGAGTTGTGGGAACACAATGGAGGAGGATGTAAGTGACTAGTACAGGAAAAGGGCGGGAGGCTGGAGTTCAGAAATTTCCAGAGAAGAGGCAATGGTATATTGGAATATGAACATAGAAGGCAACTCACTAGGTAAACAATGAGACTAACACAGAGAAAATAAGTATGTATAAATGAAGTGCATGCTATAATTATGTTGTCTGATAGGAATGTAACATGAGATTTTGGCACAAGTAAAATTTTCTATCAAGATAGGCGTGATGGTGCACACTTGTAATCCCAGCACTTGGAAGATTGAGGCAAAGGGATTGTGGGTTTGAGACCAACCTGGACTACATAGTGAGTTGGAGGCCAGTCTCTACTTCATAGCAAGCCATTGTCTTAACTCTTTTTCTTTTAAATTCAGTGACCTAATTCATAGATTTCAGGAATCATATTAAGAAGACTGAATTTTAATTTGTTGGGAATATGTTCATTTAGCAGAGAATGCTTTAGTAGGGAAAAGATGGCACTTAAAGGTAAAGAGTTCCACAACTGATTACACATGGAGAATATATGTTGAGAGATGCCCAGTCCTAAGTGACACATCTAAAGTGGAACCCCTACACCTAAGGCTTATGGGACAATACAGAACAGGGGCTAGAGAGAATACTAATACATTCCTCTACTCTCACCAGTCTAGCTTCCTCATACAACAGAGTGTGATACACACAGAAGGCCACAACTGGTCAAGTTTTAGAGAATAAAAGACTGCAGAGTGTATGTCCCTGGATAGGACTCCCATATTAAACCTTACCTACCCATGGCTCAGAGATCATTTCAGAAGAGGGGGCAGAAAGATTATAAGAGACGGGACTCGTGCTGAAACCTAAGGAAAGAGAGGCTTCCGGCCTCTGGGAATTTGTTCATTATTCACTTGCAACAATGGTGAGAACATGTTCAAGACCCATGCTGACTTAATCAGACAGAGACCTTGCATAGAACTGGGGAGATGGGCAGCAGGTCCCAACCTTACCAGAGGAACTATTTGCAACTGTTACTGTGGGCTGTGGGAGAGTTGATCTTCCTTGGGGAGTGACTCCAGATAGGCTGACTAGACTCCAGTGGATGAACTTGCACCAAAGGATATCTGGGTATAAAAGTTTGACCAGATAAGCCTTAATATGTATGCATGAAGGCGCTATAGGGGGTGTGGATGGGGGAAGAGGTCTAAGTTTGATTAAGATCTATTGTATGAAATGCAAAGAAGCTCAATAAAAACATACACGTCCCACTAGTATACACAGGCTATGCTGCTGCCTGCATGGTTGTCCCTTTGTGTGTTTCATGTCCAGATTCATGCTTCCATTCTCAAGAACCTTCTCTGAGAACATTATCTAAACATATCTGTTACCAGGACGTGCTCTGTATTTAATCCCAAGAATTTCAGGAATTACTTAGTTATTGAGTGGTTAATTTACATTTTCTTTCACCAATGTATAAATCTCATTTGGTGAGAGATGGTTTTGTTCACTGTAAAATTCAAATACCTTCAACACTAAGTGTAAAATGCTTTGGGCTCATTACTTATTAAATGAGTGAGTGAAGAAAGAAATCAGTGACGATGGGAATAAGGAAAATGTAGATATTAGAGAAACTTTTCTGGGCAGTATTGACAACAGGCTTATTAAGGAGAGCATAGAAGGAGAGTCAAGCTGCAATTCACACTTTCCATTTAATGAGTGGCAAAAAGTACATTGAGGAGAACTCAGTTGATATAGTGATCATAAAAAGGGTTTGATTTGAAAAGGTATGATGATGAGTAGCAGTTTTGAACTGCTTTAATTTTAGAATTGAAGGTAAGAAATTTCCCTCTCCAATTTAACCGAGGCTCTAAAAGTAACGAAATGATTAATTTCCCTCATTTGCAAGAATCTGTTCGATGACTTGCTCTTTTCTCTTCCAGGAGATGAGTTCCAATTGCTCTCTGTGGCGGGAGAACAGCTTGTCTGTTAAACGCTTTGCATTTGCCAAGTTTTCTGAGATTTCCGGACAGTGTTTTCTCCTATTCACCCTCATCCTCCTCATGTTCTTGGTGTCACTGACAGGTAATGCACTCATCACTCTTGCCATCTGGACCAACCCAGCCCTCCATACCCCCATGTACTTCTTTCTGGTCAACTTGTCTTTTCTGGAGATTGGCTACACATGCTCTGTAATACCCAAGATGCTGCAGAGCCTTGTGAGTGAGGCCCGAGGAATCTCTCGGGAGGGCTGTGCCACACAGATGTTTTTCTTCACATTATTTGCTATCAGCGAGTGCTGTCTGTTGGCAGCCATGGCTTTTGATCGCTACATGGCCATATGCTCCCCACTCCACTATGCAGCACGAATGAGTCGTTCGATGTGTGCCCACTTGGCAGTGGTGTCTTGGGGAGTGGGATGCATGGTAGGCTTGGGACAGACCAATTATATTTTCTCCTTGGACTTCTGTGGACCCTGTGAGATAGACCACTTCTTCTGTGACCTTCCACCTATCCTCGCACTTGCCTGTGGAGATACATCCCATAATGAGACTGCAGTCTTTGTGGTGGCAATCCTTTGCATTTCCAGCCCATTTTTACTGATCATTGCTTCCTATGGAAGAATTCTATCTGCAGTGCTTGTGATGCCCTCCCCTGATGGCCGCCATAAAGCCCTCTCCACCTGTTCTTCTCATCTACTCCTAGTAACGCTCTTCTATGGCTCAGGATCTGTCACCTACTTGAGGCCCAAGGCTACACACTCACCTGGAATAGATAAACTCCTGGCCCTCTTTTATACTGTGGTGACATCCATGCTCAACCCCATCATCTATAGTCTACGGAACAGGGAAGTCAAGGTGGCACTGAGGAGAACTCTGGGCCAGAGAAAGGTTCTGGCAATGGATAGGTAACAGAGGCCCATGCAAATCTAATCTTTGGAAAGGATTCACTTCAGAGTAAACAAAACCAGGTTCACTCTTCCATCTGTATGTAAGAGCCTTTAATAATCATTATTATGATTTTTTCCTCCTCTATGAAGTCAGAGGTATTTTCTAATTGTAAATGGTGAGTCCAATACCTAAGTTCTTTAGTCTAGGCTGAGGTACAATTTACCAGGTTATGTCTCAGGAGTCTGGCAAATTCTTACTTCACATTCTCAGTCATCGTTCAGCTCCCAAGGGCTCTTTAACATGCCTTCTGCAAAGGGTTGTTCTTTATTCTCTAAAAACTCTACAAGACATGTTATTTCTTTCTGTAAAAAAAAAAATCTTTGATTTTAATTAGTGGCACATAATTAAAAATTAAAGAATTATTTACAAATTGTGTAGACCATAAAATGTGTAAACATTTTAATAAAGCAAGCTTTAAGGTTTTAGAACTATTTTCTATGATACATAGAAATGTAAACTCTTTATGATACATAAAGAAAAATAAGAAATTTTTGTGAAGGAATTCCAATGATGTGTTTTGTAAGAAAGGAAATATCCAAGGTTAAAGAAGAAAAATACCAATAAAGAATTTAAGAAGTTTATAAAATTTATATACTTGCAGCTGACCCCTGATTCAATATATTTGGAAACTACCCAGTTACTTTCTCTTAAGATAAATGAGTATATTACAATATAACTCAGTAGTTAAAAACAGCTAGTTCTCAAGAGATGTGTTGTCAACATTTGAGCTAAATCTCTCATTTATCCCTGGGCCATGGGACCTGAGATTCCCAGAGAGCGTCTCTTTTACTCATGATTCCTATCTTAACGTTGCAAATGGCCCCCACCCAGGTGAAATGTAACATCATGGTTTCAGATGTGTGTGTGTGTGTGTGTGTGTGTGTGTGTGTGTGTGAAATATATACATTTATTGGCTTTTAGATTTTTAATTTAATTTTATTTTCATTTTATGCGTATGAGTGTATTGCCTGCATGTATGTGAGTTCACCCGTGTCCTGCAATGGCCACAGAGGTCAGAAGAGGGCTTGAAATTCCCCTGGAACTGGAGTTAAGGAAGGTTCATAGCCACCATGTGGGTGCAGGGTATTGAACCCAGGTCCTCTGCAAGAGCAGTCAGTACTCTAAACCACTGAGCTATCTCTCTATCCCTGATATTTTCACTTTTATGTGTATGAGGGTATTGCCTGCATGTGTGTAAGTGTACCCACGTCATGCAGTGCCTGCAGAGGTTAGAAGAGGACAGCAGATCCCCTGGAATGAGTTACAGATGGTCGTTACCCACCCTGTGGGTGCTGGGAATAAAAACCTGGGTCCTTTGCAAGACTAGTCAGTGTTCCTAACCATTGAGCCATCTCTCCAGTCCCAAAATACATTTTGTTGTTGTTTTTCTTTTTTTTTCAGTCTTTTTGAGACAGGGTTTTCCTGTAGCCCCAGCTGGCCTGGAACTCCCTATGTAGACCAGGCTGGCCTCCATCTCACAGAGATTCGCCTGCCTCTATCTCCTGAGTGCTGGGATTAAACGTGTGCACCACCATACCCAATGGAAATACATTCATTTATATCATATGTATCCATTGAAAGAGAACAGGAAATGGAGGGGCAGGAGAGAAGGCTCATTGGTTAAGAGCACTGGCTGCCCCTGGAACTCCCTATGTAGACCAGGCTGGCCTCCATCTCACAGAGATTCGCCTGCCTCTATCTCCTGAGTGCTGGGATTAAACGTGTGCACCACCATACCCAATGGAAATACATTCATTTATATCATATGTATCCATTGAAAGAGAACAGGAAATGGAGGGGCTGGAGAGATGGCTCATTGGTTAAGAGCACTGGCTGCCCTTGCAGAGGACATAGGTTCAGTTCCCAGCACCCACATGGTGGGTAACAACCATCTGTAACTACAGTTCCAGGAGATCTGACACCCTCTTCTGACCTCCAAGGGCACTGCATGACATGGGTGCATTTAACATACATTCAGGCAATGCAT